GGAATCTAGGTTATAGCCTCACAAGAGTCCCCCCTGAGAGAAACCCAGAATGGAGGGATGGAAGGAGAAATGGAGACTACTAAGCTGTGATTAAGGAAGAGCTGCTGCTATTTAAGAGTTAAGCTGGAGAGGAGAAGGAGATTGCATGGGCAGTGGAGGAGGAGAAGAACGCTGGAGGGGGTGGGGGGTAAGAGCATCCTCTCCGAGCAGAGAGATCAGCAAGCATGCAGGCGGAGGCTGAACGACAACCTGAGAATGACAGAAGTGGGGGAGAGCGCACGCTGAGCAAGAAGATGAAAGATGCAACAAAGAGAGCCAAGTGGAGCCAAGGAGATGACGAGGGAGAGATAAAAGGGAAAGAAAGGGGAGAAGAGGGTATGTTTGCATATGACTAAGCAACAGGATCAAAAATGAGAGGAGGAGAGGCAAGGAGAAGAGAGGACATCCATCCCTCTCTTTGCCTTGTGTACGCAGGGCACGGCTGAGGGCAGAGGACTCGAGTAACGCAGAGTCACAGAGTGGAGTGGATTCATGTTTTTGTGTGTCATGCAGCTGTGGGGTAAAAAAAAAAAATAAAACACAAGGAGCGGGGGACCTGCCATGTAGCAGGTGCTGACCATTTCACGCCTGTCGGCCCCTCTTAGCCCTGTTTGTCTACAAAGATCCACATTAGTCTCTGCAGGTCTGAATCACACCCCCATCTGAAGTCATCTCTCTCCACCATAGGTTCCCTCTTCCCACAATCATACTTCACTCTGACATTTGCTGCTCGCCTTAGTCACCTCTTAACTGCTGGCAGATTTAGCTCGCATCTTATCCTCCTCCTCCTCTGGAAATGAGTAACGCTGGAGCAGGACGGAGGGAAGGAGGAAGGAAGGACCCGACTGGACGGACAGATGGACGGATGAGCGATTTGTGGGAAGTTCAACATGCGACCGAAAAGGATAATGGAGAGAGTAAGAGGTCGAAAAAAAGACGAGAACACAAAATAAAAGAGAAACATAATTGCAGGATGAAAGAGAGCAGAAGAGGAACGAATGGTGGAGTTGAGAAGAAAAGCGGTGAAGAGCTGAAGCAGCAAAGGGTGACTGATCTGCTCTGAGAGGCTTGAAGAGTGACAGAAACACACACTACGCTGAGCCACAGCGGAGGCCAACGGCTGCACACATTGGACGCAGTGGCACAAGATTCCCACAGGAGTTTTAAATGCTGTCGGCATCGCTCCCGCTCCCTCCGTCCCTCATGTCTTTAGCCTCTCAGACTAAAGAGTGCATTGCTGGCACCGATTTATCTGGGCGCACACTCCCTGGCTTTGTAGTCTGAAATCAAGTCTCCATCTTCCTCCACCTGCTCGTGGGATCTTCCAGTCTTCCTCACTTGTAAAACACAGCAGGAGATGGAAAAATCCTTTGTGCTAAAAAGGCCAGTTACACTACCACTGCATGTAGCAGCAGAAAGTGGCCCCCGGGGGTTTGCCGACGCATACTGTGGCACCATAAAAAGCCGACAGACCTCGAAGATGGGGAAGTAGAGAGCGATAATCAGAACGAACAAGCAAAATATGAAGAGGGTGAAAAAAGCTAAAAAATTAGAGCATGAAGAGCCTGGGTGGCTTTTAAGACGCATCCAGCAGAAGACATGTACTTTCTCCTCCATTATAGACACAGTTTACTCCTATGTCAGCAGAAAATAACTTCATATTAAGTGCAATCATGCCACAGAAGAGTGGAAGGAGATGCATATTGTATGAGGTGAAATGCAGGGATGAACTCTACTGAAAGGTCCTGCTGAACTCTTGGAACAGAGCAGGGGGGGGGGAGACTGTGTGGCTTCTTTTCCAGTCTTTCTGACACCATTTTAGACATTTTTACTTCAAAGCACAGAAACGCCATCAGAGGCTCTTCCTCGCATGAATGCATGTCTGCATAGATGGATGATTTTCACAAATAAGAGTGGCCACACAAAAACATGTGCAACTCAACGGGTATGACCAGATCTTGCAATATTTAACGGGCTGATATCGCTTGGCAAAGTGAAGTCTGTTTTTCAAAAACATATCCCAGCATTCGATTTTATCCCCAGTAAAACTTTAATATCTCCTCAATTTCTCACGGACTACACTTAACTGTGGGATTCGAATCAGAAATGATCATTTCTGATTTGAAATGGCAACAATGTTGACATGTATGTGAAATTTTAAAGGATGAGTTAACAGTGACTAAAGCTAGGCTCAATAAAGCAGCTAGACGTTGTGTTTACTTCAACATGGGTTTGCTTTTCTCCAAGTCATTAACTTCTTGACTTTACATTTTTCATTGAAATTTAATAGAAGTGCGTCGATAAATTGGGCCAAACAATAAACCTTCCCCAATTTCCTTAATCAATGAACAACTGATACATGTGAAATCCATCTTCTCGATCGACCTCATCTACTTCTGCAAATGTCTAAAAATCAACCACCGTCTCCTTTTGCTGTGTTGAGAAAAAGGTTCGACTGTCGGACTGGACCACCAGTTAATGTCTGCAGGTTCCCAGTTAACGATCTGGGAACCTGCTGCTCTGGTTCTGGGCGGCTTTTGCCCGACTCTTGCCTGATCCACCAGCTTTGGCCTCAGCGATGCCAGATGCCACGAGGCTACCTGCTTGTTTTTGTTGCTTATTTTGCTCAACAAAATCTCAATTATTTCTTGAAGTCCATATCTACAATCCGTTTTGATCCAGCTGAACTAGCCGGGTCATAACACCAGAAACACAAAATCTGTTGTAGTTCTTGGCACATGAAGCAAAAGATAAAAAGTGCTGCTCCATGTCGTAGTTTCTGAAAACCTCTGGATATAAAATTCAAACAAATACGCAAAATTCTCTTCTTTTTTCAAACTGTGTTTTTTTTCTATCAAAACATCTTAAAATTAAGTTAAAATTCTTCATTTCAAAGAGGAACATGTGAAATTATATCAATCCCTCTAATATGAAGGTTAAATTTACCTGTTGTACCCATTTAGTAGCTTTAAGACTCAAACATTGAAGTAAGAATGAAAGTATGTCGAGTTGCCACGCCGCGTTGACAGAGGCGGCTAATAAAAATTACTCATCAGGCTAGCTGACAACATTCGCCTACAGGTGCATTAAAGAATAATAATCTTCCAGTGCTGAGAAATAATTAATCTGGAAGCATTTTGACAACTTGGTAGTAAAATTAACAATGAGAGTGAAAGAAGAGACACAAAGGATTTGTTAGAACTGTGAGAATATGGCTAACCATTATTTAGCCATCAGTTAGCATCCACTCCTCTTTGGCACTAAGAGCTGCTTCAGTTATTTAATGAGTCTGGAGAGGGATCGGACAAAAAGATTTAACATTTTAACCAAATCATTTTTAAGAAGCGACCAAATGCATTTTATCATCTTTTTGTCTCCAGTCGCAAACGGCTCTAGAAGTACAACCTACCCGTCATCAGAAGGACTACTTCTGCACTCCAAGCACTTCAACTGCATTTCTAAAGACTAAAAATAGTAGCATTGAATCAGTCACAACCAGAGAATCTCTTAATGTTTTCACTGAATAGAGAAAAAAAAATTTCACACTGCAAACCTAAAAATCTTACAATATTATCACTTGCAAACAAACAGAAGTTAGAAACATTACCACAGATCAACTAGTTACCATTTTTTCAGTGATAACTGCAAAATTGATATTCATTAAAATCAATTATTTCAAAATAGAATATTTTTTGAAGAGTTTAAATTTAATGATATTCTTTAAAAATCTCTTCTTGCTCAAAAAAAGGATTTAAGGACTTTTTTTTTTTCCTTTTTTGCCAATAGAGTCGTTTCAGGATAAGAAAATAACTTTTTTTTTTAAAGTCAAATATGTACTAGAATAAGACATAAAGAAAATGTACTAAGTTTGTGGAAAAAACGTCAGTTTTCTCAAAAATACCCCTACTCTTCTTGTGTTTTTGTGAACCTAAAATCCTGCATCGACTTTTGAGACGGATGCATCATTAACACCAGTAGCAGGTTTTATACCAGCTTATAAAATCTACATCTATTCAAATCAAATACACCACTCACAGTTGTGGTCTAAAGTGTCATTACTGCTCATTTCCTTTGCTTTGGGTCCTCCATTTACATTAATGCATGTAAGTACTTGTGAGGACTCAAAGTGTAAGAATGGCTTCAGGGTAAAGAGAGGCCTCAGTTGAGAAAAAAAAACAAAAAACACAACAGATTAGAAAAAAATGGAGGCCAAAGGAAAAGAAAATGCAAAATTGCCTCTAGATGCACAAAAAACAGGGGACCTTGAACACTATTGCAGCATAAAAACTTGGAATAAAAAAAGTATCGACAGCAGCAAAGAGACGTGGAAAAAGTGACATGCACTCCTAACGGAAAACAGAAAAAGAGAGTCATGATGTTGAAGGAAAGAATCCAAAAGGATGCACACACTGACTCAGCATTTACATCCCCTCAGACACACACACCAAGGACAGAGCAGCTGGACCCACTAACCTTACACTAAACACCCAAGATCAACCTCAGCACAGAGGAAATGTGTGTGTGGGTGTCTGCGGTGTTTATGTGGCATGTGAGGAAAACAAGGTGCATCCCTGGGGAAGCAATAAGAGCATAAAACACGGGGAAACGTGTGGCTCGTGTGATGAAAGAGCAGTTGGTTCCAGCTCATCAGTTTTCAGGATATAAATATTTTCATACACAAGCCTGAGGTAAGTTTATGTAATGAATGAACAGCCAGCAGTGCATTTCGCTTTCACTCTGCTGGAATTCCCAAAGCTTTATTGATGCGTTAAATATGTACAATTCATCAGCATGTATGGACATTTGCAACTCGTGCAAATTACACCAAGCACTGATTTTAATCTATTTAGAGCAGCAGATGAGTGGATTTGTGATGCCAATTCATTACGTAGCAGGGAAGTGCATGAAAAGGACACTTCAATTAATCATTTCCAGTGACGAATGCACACATGTGGCGCTCACACTTTGAATCAAACTCAAAAGATGTATGCACCGATTGTGCAACTTAAACTAAAGTGCAGCTTGCTCAAGTCAGGATGCAGCTCACCTCTGACGTGGATCGTGATCTGTTCCCTGGTGGTCCCGATGCTGTTCTTGACCTCGCACACAAAGGTGGTGTTGACAGAATTGTCCACTTTCAGCACCTTGAGCTCTTTCTCATTGGGCAGCACGGTATCTGGCAACTGTCCTGTCATTCTGTGGGGAAACAAGCAAATCAGCCCAGGAAAGAAAAGGAAAAAGCAGTGAGGAGAGGCAGAAATGGAAATTTATATATGAGCAGAATGTGTTGCATTGTTCAGTCCCAGTAAATTCCACTAATCTTGATTGGCAGAAAATAACCAGTCAGTGTCCAGCTCTCCTAAAAATTAAACCCACTATTAAATATGGGGAAGAAGAAATCACATTTAGAATTATAATGACTACAGTTTTCCCCAGCTCCATTATTGTTGATAACTGCAGGTGAACCAACCAGAATGTTGTGAATCTTTCACCAACCAGTGTCAACTTGGCTCAGTTTCTTTAAAGAACTACAACATCTAAAACAGAAAGGAAAAGAAAACCAATCTTAAATGTCATTCTTCATCCATAGCATCAGCAGGAGTGGTGTAAAAACACACATGTGAGACAACATCGCTTTAAAACAGTTTTTGTTCCATGTCAAGAGGTTGAAAGCGAAAGAGGATTAAAAACAAACAGCAACTATGTTGTGATTCATTCAGCCTTCCTGTTATCTGCTTTAAGTTTCACTCTCTCTCACTCCTTTGCAGCATGAAAGAACCAAACACACACGTCTCGACTTGTTTACTTTTAAACAGCCACTTACATCTCTGTGCTTCTCTAGCTTAATTTTTATACGCCTTACTGACACCAAAATAGCAAACATAAAGCTTATTTACCCAGTGTCACAATCTGACCAGAGTCTGTGTGGTTATCACAAGCTGGCAGGCCGCACAAAAGGTTCCACTGATCAGAAAAAGACCAGATTTTAAAGCTCAGAAGGCTGAAAATAATTTGATTCAGGTCAACAGTTGAAGTGATGATCCATTTCTATGTGAAAGAATGTACCGTCTGGCTTTTATAGTAAAACAATTAAAAATAAAAAAAAAATAAAAACTCAAATATCCAAGCTTAAAATGTCCAGATGTATGTATGTCCTCTAAATTATTTCAGTAGCTTTACAAATGGCCACTAATTAAGGAAAACAAGAGTCATTGTGTTTGTGGAAGAATTCAAATCCTATTATGAGAAATATCTCAATCATTTCACTGTTTTTCAGCCTCAATAATAAAAAGTATGATTACAGTTCTACAACGCCTGCAGACTGAAGAGTAAACTACAGGAAGGAAAGGAAGCCTTTAAACGGCAGAAAGACAAAACGACAAAGCCTCCAGAATGACCCGATACTCACGTTGTCCATTGCACAGTGTGAGGAACGGGGTTTGCGTTAGCCTTGCAGAGGAGCCCCACGTTCGTACGGCCCAAGTACCAATTGTTGTCATATCCCTCAATTTCCACCATAGGGGGGTCTGGCGCAGTACGAGTGAATGACAGGAGGGAAATTGGGGAAGGAAGGGAAATAAGTTTAATTATTCACTGTGAGGTTTGAAATGTTCAAAGCCTATCACATTAGTGTGAGCGCCAGGGGAAATCAAGAGAGCAGGGTGTCCGTGCGTGCGTGCGTGCGTGCGTGCGTGCGCTTACACCGAATGGCTAGCTTCAGCGGGAGGCTCTCGTCTTTGAGCTGGGTCCTGTGGTTCACCAGACAGGTGAGGTCCTTCGCGTTGTCCGTGGGCGTCGGCGCCAGGCGGTACTCGCTCGTCACCGTCACCGTGTTGTCGGCGCCCGTCTTAGACGTTTCTGTCCAGTTGCCTTTGGCTGTGGTCACCCATCGGATCTTTGCCGCCGGGCGGCCATCTCTGGACACGCAGCGGGCCACCACGACCGGCTTGGTGCCAGCCACCTCTGCTACGGTGGTGGCAGAGTTCACGGGCTTGGCTGGTGGACGGGTCGAGGAAAAGATGCACAGGGAGCAGGAACAAAGAAAGAGGATTAATGGATGTACTGAGAGATAAACAGAAAATAAGATGGCTGAGGGAAATGATAATGTGAGCAATTATCTTTTCCTGATAAACAATTTAAGTCAGTCTGGCTGACAAAAGCAAACATCCTCTGCCCTCCCAACCCCAATCAAACCCTCTCTGTCCAGCTAATCTTTTTTTTTTTCTCTCTCTCCTGAGATTTCATTGACAAACAATTACAGGCAAGCCTGCAAAACTCGCAGATCCTGCCTTATTTCTTCATCTACTGCCTCTCTATAGCCCATCTTCACCCGACGCCGATAAGTCACGTCCCCGACTGGCCGGCTGCATTTCCATACACTGTTTCTAAATGACGGCATGATGTCAGTTATTTCTCCCTCCGCACCGCCTCCCTTCTCATTTGCCCTCTCTGATAGCTTTGCGGGATCAGAGGAGGGCAGGAAGACAGGAACTGACAGCCGGCATGACAAGCAGCCAGATCAATACGCCGCCTGAGGGGAAGCACAGAGGATCGGCGAGTTGGAGAGGCGAGGGGCCGCCGGGTGCTGAGCCTCGCCTGTCTTACATTAAGAAGAATAAAACTGGTGCCTCTTATAACAGCTGCTGATGCTAAATCCTTTCAAAATCCGTGTTTGAATTAAAGAGCAGCACAAGATGCCTTGCATTGGTCCCTTAGGTGAGTATTTTCTAACTATAGCCAGATGGGTGACCACATTGCACAAAAAAATAATATATACATAAAAAAAATAAATGCTTCACTTTCCTTTGGCTCAGATTCAGCGAGTCTGGAAAACTGAAAATGGCTGAACAGTTTTGGCAAGGAAAGTAAAATAAACTGAGGACAGCTGGCCAACTTCTTCTAGCTTTTACCCTCACTAATCAAAGTGTTGATGGTGTGTGAAAGTTGTAAAAACTCACTAAACTAAAAAACTTCTAAACTAAACTAAAAACCTGTGAAGTGGCACAGATCATCTTTGATCTGGGTTACTCTGCACAGAACAATATCTTCATTCACTGAGTATTAAATAAAAATAAAATAAAAGATTCAGGCAACAGATTAATAGGCTCAAATTTAAGTAGGATGGAGTTTACACATTTTTTACTTCAGTTTTTAAGTTTAAAAATAAATGTTATAGGAATAGAACGTGTTTACATCACTTTAAATTACATTTTTTATGTAAAAAAATAACATTCAATTTGTTCTATTACTGCATTATAATGGGAGATTTTCACCAACTGAGACTTTCAGCACAGAAATGGGCCAATATCTGGTATAAAAGGGAAAAAAAAAAGTTTTAAAAAAATCTTGTATTCACCACACTGCTCCTAAAACTTACGATTTTTTATAAGATACCAAAGAAAATGCTGGTCCATACTGTAAATGGTTATTAAAACGGTCGTTCTCTGTTTAATTTTAAGCTCTATTTAACTTGTAATATTAGATGTATTAAGCAATTTAATCCTCCGTGGGCCCAAATGGTTCTTTTTATCTACTTTCTTCTGAATAGTCAACATTTTGCCCACATTAATCCTAATGGTCCAAAAATTAAGGGTTTAGATCAAAGTTACAATCTGTCTTTTCATACTGCAACTCTTAAACTCTGACAGTTCAAGAGTTGCACAAACTCAGCCCAAATACGCAACGTTTTTTGGATAAGCTATAATTTAGCCATTGATTTACTCGATTGGTAAACCTATGGATTTTTTAAGGAGATTACAAAAAATAAATAAATTAAAATCAGAAACCTCTGGATGTTTTGCACTGGGTGCAAATTTCTCAGATTATCAACGATATTAAAAGTGCGATTTAGTAATTCACTTTGGATTAAAAAAAAAACAAAACTTGTCGGTTCATTTATTCACTGCAAACACGTGAATAACTTTTGCCAATTAACCCAATTTGTCGTTGCTGCACATTTTCAGATGCAGCTGCGATCTAACAGCTCCTACAAAGAGGCATCAGCCGCAGTGTGAGGCGTTGATCATCACCTTGTACAGCACAGTCGGATTAAAGCCGACACCATGAAAGCATGGAAACAGTGTTGCGGTTTCAGGCTTTTGGTTTTACTTTGAAACGTGTCAGCCTTATTTCACCGTAGAGTTTCAAAGCGAAAACGGCACCAGACAGGAAAAACAGCCGAGGTAAACATCAGACAATTTCCCAACTCTGTGTTGACATAGTTGGCTGATAAACTGGGAGCAGACCCTGTTTATGTGCTGCAAATACCAGCTTGTATTCATTTAGACTAAACCGTCAGTAGCACTTGTTGAGAACGGAGATTTACTTTTAACTACTCTGGACTAAAACTAGACTTTAAGTTCCTTCTGCTAGCATACAGTTTCATCTTAAACTAAAATATCTTCTTATTTTAATATGCGATTTAAACTTGCAATGAGATCCACGGGTGCGAAAATGTGTTTCTTCCATTCCTGGTTTTCGTTTGCAGGTTTGTCACACTTCAGTGTTTCAGAGCATCAGTCAAAATCGGCAACAATAAAAACAAAAGTGAGTTTTTAAATGATGGTACAGTTCATTACTGAAGGAATAAAAAGCTACATGGCCAAACACTGTTACAAATTTAAAAGTGTGACAAACATGCAAAAAAATAAATAGGAACTCAGGAAGGAGGGAAACACTAAGTGTGAAAAGCATTATATATTAGACTGATTATGAAAAATTCAGTTATTTAATATAATCCTCAAAAAATAATTGAAGTTTGTATCCATCTGTCAACGGGATCAAATAACATTAGATCAGTATTTTGTGGTTTGTAACGTTTCTGCTGAGATGCACCAACAAAAAAAAATCTCCGTACATCCATCCAAGCATCACAACCTGCATCAACGCAAAGCGGCATGAAAGTGATCAGAAAGAGGTTCTGCTGAGGTGTAATGGAGGCCCGGGTTCCCCGTCTGCCTCGTTGGGTCTGGGGTCAGGTCGTGTAATCAAGTCTGGTCTCTGATGGTCATTCATGCAGTTATTGGTAGTTTAGAAAGTCCTGCTGAAAAGCTGCCAAGATCAATCATAATGTGGTTAAAATGCAGCTGCCTTCACTCTGGACAGGGAACAGCAGCAGATGATCTTACTGGTCCTTTCTTCATCAGCGGAGAGAACGATTATGAGTCTTGATTTAGAACTGAAATGCAAAGTTTAACTTTTAATCAAACATATATTTAATAAACTAACAGTAATTTAGGTGCTTCTCCTCTTAGCCCAGGTACGGCCCTCTAGATGTCCTCTCTGGTTAAAGAACGACCTTACAGAAGGACCAACAATCGTTGTGTCTGTTGACTTGAAACTCTGAATCCAGCTGCAGTCCAAATCTTACAAATCTCTTTCAGATTTGAACAGGCTTTGCTTCACTGTCTTCTCACAGCTTCAGTTTTCCTTTGGAGTTGCGCAGCTGTTTCTAACATTTTTTCTTCCACTCAATTTTTCTTTCGACAAGTTTAGAGTTGGCAATCTGAACAGTGAGCTTCTTTAGTGACTTCCACTCCACAGTCTCTACACAAACCATAGCAACTTTCCCGTATTGTCTAATGGAATATTCTAAATTTCAGAAAGAAATTCATTGAAATAAACTTTAGAAATGTATTTCTGTGTGTAACAGAGCTACACAATTTGTGTTTTACCTTTTTAAAATTTAACTAATGAAGTAACTGAACTTTGATGATGTTCATTTTTACTGCAATGCCCTTAAAGAAATTCATAAATTGCTCATTTGTTAGCCACGTTGGTCAACACTTGTGTCGCCTATAGACTCGGACACAAGTGGCTCTCAGATCCATTAGATGATTAAGATGAATTTCTTGCTCATCAGAACCTTTACAAAAACATTCACAGTGAGAGCAATTGAATCCAAAATCATTAAAAGCAGCAGATTATGACTGTGACCTACCCAACATGACCAGCTGAGTGATGCCCTGCTCGTTGCCGTCGGGATACGTTGCGTATTCGCAGACGTACCGACCCTCGTCCGTCATCCTGACGTCACTGATCTCGATGGAAGGGCTGGACAGCTCTGGCTGACTGGGCTTGAAGGTGACTCTGCCCTTCATCTGGGACTCAGGATAGTTGGGGCCATAGCTGGGGTGGAACACAGCTATGTTCATCCTCTCTCCATCCTTCGGCTCGTATATCCAAGTGACCTGCAACGGAACATGTTTGGGGTCAGCATAAAGCAGCAGGGAAGAACTGCAAACCTCATTTATCACGGCATCGATAAGAAACACTGGAGAGTCTTTGAAGGCGTCCAGATTTAAATGTAAACTACACGGAGCAACACGTGCAGAATTGCAATCAGGTGAGTGCAGCAGGTATGAATATGGATGGGAATATTTCCAGGAGCAAAACTCTCAGCTGTTCTCTGGGAAGCTGCTAAAGTTGTGCACTTCCACTTCATTTAAATGCAACCAAGAAGTGGCTTCCATTACCATATTCAATCCCCTGAAGCAAAATGAAGCTTAGTGTTGTTTATTTAGAGTAATAAAACATTAAGCTCAAATGTGATAAAAACCTATCGACTGCCTTAGAATGATTTCTGCAAGCAATCGTTTGTTAGATTAAGGTTTAATTTGGCTAATTAAAAACAGAAACGGCACATGAAGCTGAACTGAAGATCCTTCGAGTTCAGTGAATTGTTCTTCTCCAGCTGCACAAAACTTCAAAGTTTTGTCAAAATGCAACTGAATCATTTATTACAGCAGTCAAACTCCTACACAGTTTCAGTAGATTAAGTTCAAGACTTTAAAGATGCAGTAGATAACTTATAAAAATATGTTTTTTTTACATATTTGTTAAAACTGTTGCTATATTGTGATAGTGTAGTATTAGACAGATAATATAAAAACAAAAGAAAAAAAGCTCCTCTTATTCTCCTCGTGCAGAAATACACCACCAGTCAGAAACAACCAATCAGAGACAGGAGGCGGGTCTTGGTGCTGTCAATAATGTTCATGTAGGCAATGTTCATGCCTTTCCCGTTGCTTTCTGCTGCGCTACAGTTCCTCCTTCACAGTGGAGTCTGATTTCCTGGAAAACCGTTTTCCTGGAACGTTGGGTTGTTTCTTCGTATTCGCTAATGTTTCTTCGCATTAGCAGCTTGGCTAATGTTTCTTCGCATTAGCAGCTTAGCTAATGTTTCTTCGCATTAGCAGCTTGGCTAATGTTTCTTCGCATTAGCAGCTTAGCTAATGTTTCTTCGCATTAGCAGCTTAGCTAATGTTTCTTCGCATTAGCAGCTTAGCTAATGTTTCTTCGCCATTAGCTAAGCTGCAGAAAACCGCATATCTTGAGCTTGTACACGCTGTGCAGGGTAGCATGTAAGCAGCACATACACAAGAGTGGTTGACAGCACCAAGACCCTCCTCCTGGCTCTGATTGGTTGTTTGACTTGGTGGTGTATTTATGCATATGGTAGATTTTTTTCAAAGATCATCTGTCTTGTACCGTCAGCAACAGTTTTAAAAAATGTGTAAAGGCATTTTTATGAAACGTTACCTACTGCAGCATTCATCACAACGCTGTTACGATATGACAACTTAAAAACAAACTCAATTTAAACACAAGGCACTTCTAGAGTGAAATTTACAAACATTTGATTTAAAGGCCTCATTACTATGAACTACTTAACATTTTGTGCATTTCTGACCAAACAATAAGATTTTGGCAGTAGCTAAAGAGTCAGTTTCTGCTAAAAACTAAGCAATGAGGTGAACTACAGCCAAGATACTCCATGAATTGTAATTAGACATGTTTCCATACTGTTATCTGGACATGATTGGTTGAACCGCAAAACAGTGAAGTCTGAACCGACGGCTGAATGACGCGCCCACTCCTGGTGACCCAAACTGGGAATTTGTGTCAATTGTTGCCATTGTGGTTGCTATGCAAGACAAAATGACCATCAATTTATATGACAGTATTCTTTAACATTGCCAAAAAACTTGGGTGCATAATATTTTGTCTCATCTCCAACTAAAAACTAGCAAGCAAGCTTAACCTGTGCAACATCAGTTTTATCATCCCACAACATCGTTTTCTATGTATGGCAATGGTGAGCGTTCCTCCTCCTGCTTTTTTTTTTTAAATATACTCATCTCTTTCTAAACTCAACATTGTGGATTTGTGATCATTTTATCTGCTCCTCTTCATTTATATTCGTTTTGTATGTGATGTGTATCCCTAGACTGCAGCATCAGAGGAAAACTCACTCAGCATCAAGGGGTTTAATCTACAAAAACTCACATCAGAAATGATTGCTGTTGGTGCCACCCTCAAAAAAATAAGATACACAAACAAATGGTAAACAGACTCAATTTCTATAGCACTTTTCCAGTCATTTTGACACCTCAAAGCACTATTAAATGTATAAAGTACATTTATACACCCATATGCAGCTCAGTGGGCAACTTGGGGTTGAATGTCTACATTGAGATTTGGAAGGAGGAAACTGGAATCAAACCTACAACCTTCAGATTACAAGACAACCCCTCTACCCACTGAGCCACAGCTGCCATGTATAAATGTAATATGATACTTGCTGAAATTCAAAACCTCAACCTATTTAAGACTTCTTAAAAGCCCTAAATGGAAAATAAATAAATTGGAGCCTCATGAGATTTTAAGCCCCTGCAGAAATCCTGTTTTATTTCCAAGCAATTTCACCAAATTACTGAGCCACAAGGCAGCAATATGCTGTAATGTTTGGGTGAAGAAAGCCAAAAGTGTACGGCAGATATGAGCACATCAGTGAACACAGATAATCAAATCCAGATTGAGGAAAAAAAGATAATTTCATTTTGGAAATGGGAGTCTGACCATTGTGAGCTGAATCCCCGTTGGGTCCGGGAAGGCGCAGCGTAGGTTGACCGTCTGGCCGGGATATGAAGCTAGTTCTGGTTCCACCTTCACCCGCTGACCCGATGTCCCTGCATGAAACAAAGAAGAGAGAGAAAAACATTAGCCACAGTCATTTCCTACGCCAGGGAAGGAAACGGAGAAAGGGAGCGCAGGAATCATGTCGGTAATAAGCCTGATGATAAATGGGGACTGTGTGGATCTGTCTGGTACAACAGAGGACAATATTAGTGAACCCTGGCAAGTAGGCCAAGAGGCTGGTATGTCTACATGACTGTTCATGTGGATGAAGTAGCTGAGGAAAAAAAAAAAAAAAAAGAGGAGGGCAAATGTGCAGCAGGAAAAAAAGAAAAAAAAAGACGAAAACCAGTCTTCTTTTGAACATAGGTCATAAATCATCAGGATGGGATATGCCTCTCTATAGCCTGCCATTTGCTGTGCCGACACATTCCTGTGTAACAGCAGAGTCAAAATAAATATGCTTTTCTCAGTGTGAGAAATACAGAGCGGGAGAGTTTTAGTCCGACCGTCTGCTCCTCTTTCTGTGTGTGCGCCTGTTTGTGTGTGCAGGTCTCTGTGAAAATGTAATTACTTGTGTGAATAAGCCCACATTAGTTTATGTCAGCAAGATGGCACCAGTTTTAAGAAAGAATGGATTACCTGCAGTTACACAACTTCAAAATGTCTGCAGCCGGTGCTGTGGAGCGATTGCGCGTTTGCCAACAAGCTGCAGATATGCAGCGCAATTAGCTGCAAGACCAGCTCCACCAGTTTGGGCCGTGTCAGAGCTGCTGCACTGAAACTAATGTGAAACGCACAGCTGAGTCGAAGCTGAACACGCATGAAACGTGGAGTCGACTAGATAAGGGCAGCGCTGTCTCTCATTTGACAAGCAATGAACAGCACATCTCCCCATCTCAGGGGAGATATGAAATATCAATACAGAGGAGGAGATGAGGGCAGAAGGAATGAAAGACTGAGTGGGAAAGTGGAGGAAAACAAGACTTTCCTAGAATAACATCGGCTCTCACAGCGCCAGCCCAATTTGCAACCACAAAACAACCCCCTTGTAGCCACAGAGAAACCTCTGGACAGCCGCTAACCAGCCGGTGGGAGCAGCGCTGATCCTTTTTGGGGTGAAACACGGCTCTTTGTCCCCGTCTCTGGACACACAGAAACCGTGCAAGTCAACAACACCCTGCATATTTGCGAGGAACCACCCAAAATAGATTTTGCAATGCAATTTTTCTGATTTATCTACCTGAACTGGTCTAACAATACTCGGGTCAACTTGTGCGACTGGAGCAGAACACAATGAAGCAGAAAATGAGAAAACTGGATTAAAATTAAACCTTTTATTACACTGTGGTTTGGGTGTATTGACAAAGTCTGCTAGACTTATCCAGAGTGGTTTTCTAATTGTCCTTTCATTCAGCATACGGTTTGCTAATTATAGGTTTCATAGAGCGGTTTGGACTTTCCAGCCCACTCAGTATGCTAATGCTAGCGAGATTAAGCTAATAGTGTGTTAAAGATATCATCGAAAGCTAATGGAATGCTAAGGGTAAGCATGCTAACACTATGTTGCATTTATTTAGCTTTACTGTAAGCAAGTGCGTTTTTAGCCTTTAGCATGAAAACTGAATGGTGCTTCTGTTTGGTTCTGGAGATGCAAACCAGACTAGAACCAGAACCAGAACCAGAACGGTCTAGAAGGTTGAAACAATGTAAGCAGGTCTTTTCTGTATGATTGTGCCAAGTGGTCCAGTGATTTATAAACTAACCGTACTGTAAAGATGATTCTCTACAGGAAGCCGGTGTAAGGCTTTAAGAACGGGGGTGATTTGCTCCATCTTCCTGGTTTTAGTGAGAATGTGAGCAGCAGCGTTCTGGATCAGCTGAAGAACCTGATTCATTGGACAAACCTGTGAAGAAACTGTCACAATAATCTATGTGACTAAAGATAAACATATGGATGAGTTTCTATTTGATGTTTAAAGGTCTTTTTACATACTGCTGCTTTAATTTTGGTTAATTTTAGCACATTGGCTAAACATCTTTATATCTTTCTGATGTATTACTTGATTTCTGCATGTTTATCATCTATAAATGTTTTTAGATGCTCTAATTTTTGTGTTTACATAAATATCTTTTTAAAGTACTTCTGCTTTACATCAGGTTGTCTCTCTTTTGATGGTTACATTTCCCCAACTCTTAATTTTGCTACTTTTATGAATGCTAACTGAAGTGCGCAGATATTCCTACGTCATTCGCCGCCATGTTTAAAGCTTACGTTTGCAAAACAGAGAAAGTATTTTAGCATTTATGCTTTTACAAGGAATATAATTGTACAGGTAAGGAGCCTTTAAAATACTTTTAAACTGTTGCTACCCCTAGACCTGTGCAAAAAAAAATAAATAAATAAATATAGCTACTGTGCAACAAGAAAAATATTCCAAGTTCAGGCATGTTTTTCCTGTTGTGCAAATACCAGGGTGCGCAATCAAGATGCACAAACAAAGCAACGTGGGGTCAAGATGGAGGCAGGTTCGCATCAGTCATTCAGTTGCAATGAGAGGAGACACAACACAGATCAGCTCCCGTCAGAGTGGAGATGAGAGACAGGCTGGCCTCAGACTCCTGCAGCCTCCGGAGAAATGAATATTACACAGCCTCAACCTTCATAACAGAGCCCCCCC